TGTACCATCAGCTATAGAGGAATACAAATCCCAGCAATACATTATAGAGCACCATGTGTGGGGAAGCGTAGGCTTACCTGTCTATCGGCGGCTGTCATCCGCCCACACCTGCTCCTCCTTACTACTTCTCCCTGCACCGATTTGTGGATGTGTGCGGGCGGATCTGGCAGCGGCGAGCGTGAGGTGGGGAGGAGGTGTGGCGCGCAGCTGTGTGGAGCCGTGAACAGGGCCAACCAATCGGAAGCCGATTAATCGATGATTGAAAAAGTTGACAACTTTTTAAATAATCGATTTATGTCGATTTAGTTGTTGCAGCCCTAATCTATATAATTCGAAAGCACAAGAAGGGCTACACTCAATGTGCGTAACAAAAAGAGAAAAAAAATTGGGACAAGTAATGGGGGTGAGGGGGTTGGGGGAATGTTAGCTGGGAAACACAAAAAAAGAAGGAAGTCTGGCAACCACGAAGGTAAGTAAAAGCTACAGTGAAAAAGAAGACCAGAGGGGGTAGTACAAGAGAAAGAGCATTGGTAGGGGATGCAAAGGGGTAAGAGGAGTGTCAGAAGGAGAAACATGTTGCGCAGAGAACGACCCAGGCCCAAAGCCCCACAGGCTATTTTACAAAAACAAAGGGAAAGCAAGGTGTGATCCAAATTTAAATGTCGGGGGTATTCCAACCAGGAGGGGTCACATTTTCAGAAATTTAGAATGGGGGTCAGTTAAGACGGCCGAAAGCTTCTCCTTTATCATAATACCTATGACCAATTATTTCATTTTGATTTGCACACACACTGTGGGAAGTTGTCTTTGACCCGCCATTCTAAGGCATCGTTTGTGGGTCTGCAGCCGCAAAGCATCTTGGGGCGGGCGCATGCGCACTTAGGATTTTCGGCCGCGAGACGGGGAGAGACACAAGGTGAGTATATGGACGCGTGCACCCACATGCAGACACCGTGGGACAGGAAGTACCAGCAAGGACAAAGGAGTCAGCGCTGGATTGGAGACCCGCAGCAGCGCTGGAGAGAAGACTGAAAACTACAGGAAAGAAGAAGAAGAAGATCGGATTAATAGACATCATTTAAGGTAAGTGCTTTAAAGGCGAACTATGAGGTGAGTGCTTTTCACTCACCTCATAGTTCTAGCCGACCTGTGACAATGAGACTGTCACAGGTCGGCTCAGTAGATCGGGAAGTGAGCG